TTTTGTACTCTGAGGAGGGAGCTGAGCTTGTGCCAACATGAGCCTGCCAGCGGGCTGGAGAGCTACACCACCTCCAGGAGGTTTCAATTCTTGCTTCTTCTACTCTAAAGCTGTTAAACCGCTGCTCAGTTGACAGCAATTAAGACCATGCCATTTGCTGGACAGCTTCTGCCCTTTGCATTGTGATGGCAGCTCTCCATTTCGCTGTTTGTTCCTGGACATGAGTTGTTATTATTTTCACTCTTTTCCCCTCTCTACAGACCGGTGGCTGCTGGTGGTGGTGTGCCTCTGCCCCAGATCTGGTGTGGTTTGTATGGAAGAGGGTTTGGAGACGAGGCCAGCGCCTACGCCTGAGCCCCGTGCCCGCCGTCTGGGCTTTGTCACGGTAGCAACCCTCGTACAGAGAAAGTTGTTGGGATGAGTGTAAATGAGTTTGCCTGCAGAACAGCCTGTGCTGCCTGCAGAGGCCAGGCTGCGGGGCTGCAGGAACTTGCTCTTCAGCCTTGTCTGTTAGAGCCCAGTGCACAGTTGGTGAACTACCCTGGGGTGTCTGGTGCCCAGGGGTTTTGTAGCTCATGTAGGAGCCTCTCAAATCGCATGTCATGCACCAGAGACTAGTTTTGGCCATCACTAGGTGACCTGGGGATGCCCCGACTGTGCATGGAGGGTGTTAGCACCGTCTGTGCCACAGGGAATGCACGCTGCTGCTGCTGCCTGCCTCTGCCCTGGCTGCCTGCAGCACTGGGGAGGCAGCGACTCACTGGTGGCAAAGGCACTGGAGCAGGAAAAGGCTCCCATCAGGTTTGTAGCCAGCAGCTGGCATTCCCAGAGCAGCCAAGGGAGTTGTGTCCACAGGCTTACGTGCTTGGCAGCTTCCCCCAGGCTCCGTGCAGGCTCCTGCCTTTGCATCTCCTCTTCTCCTGACCCTCCATCTGTCATCCATCCACTTTCCTGTAGTTTTAAATCCGCTATTTAAATCTCTTGCAGGCTAGGGGAAAGTAGTCCTTGCCTACAGGCTCAAGGCTGCCCATCCGTAGGCTGCTCCAAACAATGGCTGTGGGTCAAGAAGGGCTGGAGAGGTAATAGCCGCTGCAGGGTTGCTCGCTGCACAGCCTCCCCAGAGCTCTGGCTGGGTTGGCCAAAGCAGCACGCCTCCTCCCCGTGACCCCCCCTGCTGCCGCTGCCGCTGCCGCGTGACTCTTCTGAGAAGAGTAATTTGCTCCTAAGAGTCACGCTACGTGTTGGTGGGGTGGTCTAGCTCGCTGCACGCCCGCCTGCTCCCGTCCCGCTCTGTCCCCACTGTGCCATGGGGCAGGCTGTGGGGTTGCTGCCTCCTGGGAAGGGCCACCAGACTGCACCCTGCCAGAGGGGCTCCTGGGCTCTGCTCAGAGCATCCAGACAACGCGCCGGGCCCCTCGGCACACACCTGGGGTGCCTGCCCGCATGCCGGCATAGCTCTGCTGGGTCCTGGCAGAGGATGCTGGGCAGCAGGGCACCGGGAAGTGACCTCTGCCTGCCTGTGCCCCCTTGTTGGGCTGAGGCTCTTGGGGGGGAAGGAGGGAGCGCCTGCACGAGAGGGGTCTGCACCGGCATCTCTCTGGAGTCCTGCTCTGGGATAACCTTGATTCTCCCTCTCTTCGGCAGCTGAGCCCCGGTGCAAGGCAGCTTAGGCACTGGTAGTGGCTTTCTCTCCTGGTTTGCAGCACCGCAGACCCTGCTGCGGGATCGCGCATCCTTGAAGCTGGTCTTTCTCCTCTGGACGTGGCTGGAGGGAGGGTTTGAGCCAAGCCTGGAGAGCAGCCCTACTGGCTGCTGGTATGAGGCTGCAATAAAACATTACGAGCTTTAAATGGGGCCAGCCTGTGCTGTAAAGCTGTCACCGCTAATGGAGATCATCTCCGCCTTGAGTGGCATAACTCCCCTTTACAAACTGTGGCTGGAAGAGCTGGAGTTGAACAAAGCAGAGGGTAATGTACAGTATGGCAAAGTTAGAAAACTCGCTTGCTGAGCAAAACACTCTCAGCCTGTTCCCACATTTCCAGCTGGACCCCTCCAAGCAGTTTGTGCCTAAGAGAGCATGTGATTCCTCCACCCCCACATGGCAGCCAGGACAAAGCACTTGGTAAAACGGTGAAAGAGCATGATACATCATAAATATTAGCAACTGGCCCCTTGCCAGTCACAGGCAGAGAAACCATCTTGGCCATTAATCTATCCGTGCAAGCTGCATCTGGCAAAGTGGTGCTCGACATCACCCATGTTCATTTTTGTCTCGGTGTTGCAGTTCACACTTGCTTTAAAAAAAGAAAAAAAAGGAAAAGTACTTTGCGCTCTCTGGGACTGAATTGTTAGTGAGTTTTTCCTGGGGGGCTCTGCCATCACAGTGTGGAACCAGTGCGGGGTGCTGGTGCTGGGGCAGGCAGGGCTGGGACTTCCCCCAAGCTCAGCTTTCATTCTCTGCTGTGATTAATTGCAGTTAGTGCTCATCTGTAATTTTAGAGAACAATCGGATGACGTGCCTCGCGGTTGATTTAATTGAAAACTGATGAGGCATCAGAAGGCTGCTGTGCACCAGGGTAAGCTGTGCTGGGATCCTCCTGAGAACCCTCTCCCTGTCCTCAGCAGTGCCTTGGAGGGCTCAGGCTACGCCCCGGTTTCACTTGGGCTGAGCTTGTGCTGTAGGTCCGGGGTCTCCTTGCCCTGGACATCTGGGTCTCCTCCCCTTGAAGTTTTGTGACCAGTCTGGATGTTCTCAAGTGCAGTAACGTTAAGGATTTGGGGTTTTGCACCGCTGTGGTATGGACCACTGGGGAGGTTTAGGGTATTTCGGATACATGTCTCATTCCCCATTGCAGAAATCCTCTGCTCTGCCTATTCATCTGCTTGAGTTGTGCTAGCGATTTCTAAGGCAGTTAGGAAGGCTGAGGGAAATTGCTTTCAGGTCAAGACCTGCTTTAGCCTGTAGTGAATTACTATGCCTGGGTTTTAAATCTTTGCAAACAGAGGATTATGGTGGTGGTAAATACTAGGTAGGCCTGGGGATTGCTGTGCTGCTGGTTGGAGGGAGTGTGGCCTTCCCCTTTAGCATATAGAGAGTGATGGATGTTAAAAAAATAAATTGAGATACAGCCTGGGTTGTAGCTTCGATACTATTTCTCCTTGATTGATATTTCTGCTTGGATGCTTTGCAGAGTAAGCAGTCTATTTCTTGCTTAACCTCACGGGGCTTTTTCCTTCTTAAATGAGGACAGCGTGGTAGATACAACCAATTGCCGAGAGCCCTGGATTAGTGCAAGATCTGCAAAAAATTCAGAGCTGCTGTACAGCCCAGCATCTGCTTGAAACACAAGTGACGAACACATTTGAAATGTCAAAGCTGCATTCCTGTGCCGGAGGATAGCTGCCCATGCCTGGCTGCACTCAGCATCTCTGGGTCTCTAGTCCCAACGGTGGCTTTAGGGGCTGAAAACAGCGATTGCCTCCTGCTCTCAGCAGACCTGGGGTAGCCAGCAGCCTGTCCCGAGCACGGCGGGACGAGGGGGTGAGGAACCACAGTGGTGTGAAGGCTGGAGCCTGGGCAGCGCTGCAGAAACGCCAGCCTAATGGGAAACCCTGCCCGTAGCCGTGGAGGGTGCAGGCAGCAGAGGGTGAGGGCAGGCTGGGGTCGTCCTCCTGCCTGCAAGGACTGGGCAGGAGGAAGGAGGAGGATTTTGTTTGCTGATTGCTGTGAAAGCAGTGGTGACACGCACATCTAGCCTGCAGAAAGCTGCAACGGCACCTGTGCATCATGAATGGGGGCCAAAACAGGTTGACACAGTCTCTTTAATCCAATTAGTGCCGAGGGCTAAGCAACCCGGCCAATTTGCTCTTGGCTTTTATAACACATATAAATAGCGTTGGCGTTACATAACGCCATGGGGAACGGCTCCGCTCCCCTCGCAGTCCCCAAGTAGAGCTGAGCTTGGCTGGCCAGAAGATGAACATGGCTTTGCCTGGGGCTGGAGGAACCCATCCAATGGTCCGATCTCTCATAGCATTTGCGTTCGCTGCATTCCACTTGGCCTGCTGCAATCCGTACAACATCCCCAGATCCACCTGGGACAAGCAGTCGTGACAAGGCATGTCTCCTGCACCCCCTCCCAAGCAACATCTCCATCAGTCGATCTTGTGTGCTGCAGAGGAGGCTGTGACAAATGCAGGCAAGGGCCTGACCCTGTTAACGAGCTCAGGCCTGGCCTTGATAACGATGTCCTCCAGCTGCTCTCAACTTTCCCACTGCAAGTGGAAGATGCTTCCATGTCTGCACGACCCTCCTTGTCCCTGACAGAGTACCACCAGCAATAATAAAGTTTTGCAGGCTGCCGCAGCCTGTCAGCAGTTTCGTGCAGGCAGGGGGCTGTAATCTCTGCCCTCGGAGAAGCCCGAGTCAGGCCAATGGCAGCTAATGAGCTTGTGCAGGTGTTGCTGCGGGTGTCACGCGGCTGACTGAATTATTGATGTTGTCCGTCATGGGAATTGCTGTGATGCTTCAAACCAGGGATGCTGTGGGGGAAATGCTGGGAAACGCTCATGGAGTTGGTAGCTTTTCCCAGAAGTAGGTAGCAGAAGGTAAGCATGGGGGTTTGTGTGGCTGCTCCTGCAGAAGCACTTCAAGAAAGGGAGAGGCTGGGTTGAAGCTACCTCTTGCTTTTGTCAGTTGTACGGCAAACTGGTCTTCTGGAAGGAAGGAGGGACTGGATAGAAGCAGGAAGTCACCAGAAATGGTTTCTGAAGTATATCATGCCTAAAATGCGCAGGGGTAAATGCTGTCACGGTCATTGAAGGTTGGTAGCTTTATGTAGAGGTTGCAGTTGGACTGTGTTTGCCCTGAATTGGACGAGTCTTGCCCACGGGGTTGATTGCACCAAATCTGTGTTGGGTGTAATTCGTCAAGTTGCCATTAGTAATCGCTGGTTACAATTTTGTCTTATATAGCTGACTTTTCCTCTTTGTGCTTTCAGAAATAACACAGATCATCCAGGTAGACTTGGACCTGAAGTACAAGACCAACATCCGAGACCTGTTTGATGAGTTTGACAACTTCCCAGAGGGAGCAGTCATCGGGATTGCCAGGGAAATGCAGCCAGTGTACAGGTACAGCCACCTCCCCATGGGGAACAGGGGGTGGGCAGTGGGCAGCTGGCATGTCTTCTCTTCAACTCAGGTTGGTCTTTGGAAGAAAATCTAGGGGGAAGCAGTCTCCCTGCTTTAATCCCTGCAGGGGGACTTAATCTGAAACTTGTACATCGGTATGAAAAAAGTGTTGCAGTGGTTTCCCTGTTCTCACACACCATCACAAGGCTTCCAGAGCCAAGTTCCTGGTCATCAGTGCCAAAATCCGTACATGGATTATAGCACATCTGCTAGAGGTGTGTTTGCCCAGCCATGCCTGCTGACGTGCTGTGATTGCATTCTGGAGCATCAGTTTGTATGTCGGGGCTCAGGGGTTTTGGCTGTGAATGTTGCAGAGGGCAGGGGTTGAGTCTGGGCAACAGTGACGTTCTGTGTCCCTGGAGTGTCAGTGCACCTTCTGCTGAAGAAATATTCCCCCAGGGAAGACTGAGTGGGCAACTCTGTTGGTGACCTGGGCTTGCAAGCATGAGGATAGCCCCATGGTCACTTGCTCATCAGACCCTCGGTCCACCAGCCAGTGCCGACTGTGGTGGCAGCTAGCGGTGGGAGCTGCGCACCGAGGGGTGGCCCAGCTCTTCCCACTCATGGGCTACCGGTGCGCTTCAGAGACACATAGATTTCCAGGCTGGTGCTTAAAGAAATTGGTTTAGTTTAGCGTGCATTGTTCCAAGGATGAACCTCAGGTTTTGTTTTAATCCAGGGTGAATCAGATCATCAGCTCAGGATGCCTTAATGGCTTCTCAGCTGAGCAGAGTTTGAGTGTCTGAAATGGCTTGGCTGGATTTGCTAATCCTAATGGAAATGTTCTTGGAGAAAGATAAAAAAAGCTTAAGAGCTCCGTATGTCTTTTCCTTCCCTACTGGAAGCCTTAGTAGTGAGATCAATAACTGAACCTCTTAAGACATGTCCAGCAGCACTCTTGGGCAAAGGCTGAGCTGCAGAGATCTGGAGCAGCCGTTCCTGCTGCATGTGCATCCAGATGGGATGAGGGTGGAGACAGAGGGAAGTTCACCAGCAGGGTATTGATGGTCATTAATCACCACCGGTCGTTTCCTAGAAGCCCAAGCCGGCTGAGAGCATGCTCATGAGAGCATTTCTGGTTGCTCAAGCTGCAGAAGTCGCCACTGTTCCCAGGCTGGAAAAAGACATCTCTGTGCCTGTGGCAGAAGCGTCACCTCCCCTCCTGACTTGTGCTCTTGGCAGGGAGAGCTGGGACCAGAGGAACGCAGATGCTGAGGTCTCGCCTCCATAGAGTGGCACCACGCTGAGAGTATGGAGGGCTCCTGTATCTGCTTTGGGTGTCCTGGCAGGATTTTGGTGCCCAGAGTGGTAAATCCAGCCCCAGTTAATCATATCCAATCATTAGAACTTACAGCAGGATGGAGGGAGCAGCAACAGCTGAGTGCGGCTGCGTCGGACTGGCAGCCTCAGTCAGCGCTGCCCAGCAGGGCAGGTCCCATTCGTTAGCGGTGCAGCCTCTAACAGGATAAATTAAGTGTTTGTTTGCTTACAATTAGTCCATGGTGGAATCGCTTTGTATTTCTGTCCCTGCAGGGATTGGCTTTGCATTATTTCCATGCATAGCTAGGGAGCAGGGATGGTGTTCCAGTGCCTGGATGTGGTTTGTGGGACCAGGTGTGCCTGGAGGGGACTGCGTTAAGCTTTGGGGTGCCCTGCTGGAGGGAGAGATCTCCAGCACGGCAGGGGACAAGGCACGGGACCGCGGGGCTGAGCACTGAATATCTGACCCGAGCTGAAGCCGTGCTCTCCCCCCTCCTGCCGCCCGCGGTGGGGACAAACAAGCCAAGCAATAACAGCCCTCACAGGCTGCATTTTTGGGCTGAACTTTCTGTTGTTGCAGTTTTGACGTTCTGGGTCACTTTGGGCTATGTTGTGCTTTTCTTCTTGTGCTGTTTTGATCTTCATGTGAAAACAAGTTCCTGATCCTTCTTGTCGCCAGATCACCCGGCGCGGGGCGAGCTGTGCAAACGCCAGCCTGCTCTCCCACCGAGCCCTCTGCCCCGCAGGGCTCGCACCTCGCTGCTAAAAGGGTTTCCAGACAAAAACATGAGCTGACAAAGCATGAGCGTCTTTGTAAAAAAAATAATCTTTGCTATTTTTATACTTTTAGCAAGATAAAAACACGTTGTAGGTGTGAAATAAGAGGTGCCAGCTCCAGCCGTGTGATTTGCCACATGCGCAGGCTTGAAGCATCAGTTGGGAAAGTGGTTGTGGGGGTGAAGGAGGGTTATGGGGCGATGGTGGGGTCTCTCCATTGCCACTTGTGCTCTCCTCCCCACTTCACGCAGCTCTCTGCGGCACCAACTTTGCCCCAGCATTGGGCAAAACGTCAGAGGGCTTGGGGGGAGTCAGCAGAGCTTTCCTAAGCTTGGTCACGGAGCTGTGGACTGGCACCCCTGGGGCAGGGTAAGCCAGTGGCTGGCAAAGTCTGGATGCCATCTTCCCCTCTCTGTAGCAATGGGGAAGATGGATTGGGATCAATCCACTTGGCTGCGTTGGATCCTTCTTACCTGCTTGGCCCGTCAGAGGAGATAAATGGGTGCAGACCAGTGTATTTTGTAGACGATGCACCCTTTTCTGGGAGGTCGTGCTGTTCCTGCCAGCTGCCTGTTGGCTGTCCGGCTGTGGGCTGCACTTTCCCGGCACAGGCTGGGGCTGCACAAGGCTCAGGCTGCTGCGCTGGTGCACTGAGCAGTGCTGGGCGCAAATGCTTGCGGGAAACGGAGGAGTAAGGGAACAGCAAATAGGAAATGTCCCGGAGCCTGCCTGCACATCCTGAAGGTAGGGGGAAACCTCCAGACAGCAAAACAGGATGGCACGGGAGCGTTTCCACTCATTTGACTCATGCTGAAACAATGCCCGGCCACTGTTTGTCTTGGACAAACACATTTCTCTGAGCAACAGGATCTCCTGGCCCTCCTGCAAGGCAAACGCTGGGGTTTAACTGTTACGCAGCCTGGGGCTGGCCCGTCCTTTGGGACCGCCGCTCGGTGGCCTGTGGAGAGCGGTATCTCCTGCTGAAGCTGTACGTGGAGCACGCTGCAGATCCACCTCCCCGCCGTGCCCCACAGGGCAGTGTCTGGCAGGGGGTCCTGGGTGCGGAGGGGGAGGCTGCAGGAGCCCACGTGAAGTGCAGGAGTCAGTCCGAGGTCCGAAGCTGTTGGCATCAGGTTTGCTTCTCTCCAGCCGCAGTGGGGGAAGCGGCACTCTGTCCGTGGGTCAGGCGTGTTGTCCTTTCTGCTGCTTTTGGATCCGATGTGCGACATGGGGTATGGCCAACACCTCTGTGGATGGGGTCGCAGGCAGAGCTTCGTCCCACAAGAGGCTGCCCCCACTGCCAACGTTGCTGGGGACACTGGTACTATGCACTAGACTCGTAGACACTTGTGGGCTTGCCGTGGCAGCACTGGATGCCTCCTGCCAGGTTGACGTTTGCATGCTGGCCTGCAGGCAGAGCCTCTTCCCAGCACTGACATATGCCTGCTCATGTGTCTGCATGCACAGGATCCACACCGTGGCCAAGACCAGGAGCTCCTGCTTCAGCAAGAATGATTTTGATGGAAAGATTAAAATCTGCATCTGAAGTTTGCCTGGTCCCCGACCATGCAAGGAAGTACTCTTGCAGAGTCATAACCTTAATTAAAAATCCTACTGTCCCCTGCAGCGTTTCTGCTACTCAGGTGTGCTGGCAGTGTCCTGTTCACCAGGCTACAGAGGGTGACCCATGATGCTCTGTATAAATATTTATGTTGCTTTGGGCTTTCCATGCCAGATCCTGGCCAGATGGAGAAGTCCAGGCCCTCCTGTGCTCTTTCTTAGCCCTGCTAAGAAACATGCAGGCAAGCATTGCAGATGCAGCCTGCAAGCCGGTTACCAGGCGAGCAGGCAGGTCTCTTTTCTCAGGGTGAGTGCAGGGTGCGTGCCTGGCTTGGCGAGCAGCTTAGCCGTGGTCCCGGCTGCCGCGGGGCTGAGTGATGGCCGAGTGAGGCACAGCTTGCTGCGGGCTGACCCCCGACCAGCACGCTGTGCCGTGCTCCCCGCTGCCATCCCCCCAGCCATCCCTGCCTCTTTGTTTCCTACGTGGTGCCGGTGCTGTTACTGGCACTGCCACGTGGCGGTAGAGTCTGTGTGCCCACCAGTGCCGGCACCGCCTGGGGCCCTCAGCGCTGCCCCATGTTGCTCCCCTTGGAGGTCTCACTGGAGAGGAATGGTCTGCTGGCAACAGGGAGGACCTAACCCACAGGTCCTCAGATGGGTGCTTTTACCCTCTTGCTGCAGCTGGGAGCAAGGTACCTGCTGTGATGGTGGACATCAGGTGAGGTCCCAGACCTTCTCAGGTCCAAGGGTGCATGTCGCTGGGGCTGGAAGGGTGGCTGCTGCCTCCGTTCCTGCCGTTGGGTGAGATCTTAACTGCTGTCCCCCATGACAAGAAGCTAAGGACGCTGGAGGCGTCTTGGGAATCCACAGTGCGGGAAAAGATAACAGTTTGTCCTGCAGGAAAGGATCTACATCAAAGGGACAGCTACAGACTACAAAGGGCTGACAATTGAGTCCTTGTATGGCTGCAAGGCCATTTGCCTTTGCTTCTGCCTAAAACCTAGGGAGAGCTTGAACAGGACATTATTTTGTGGAAAGGGAAAGCTTTGTTTCTGCTTGTGTTCGTGTGGGAGCTGCTCTAGGTGTGCTGTGTGCTCTGTCACACAGGTTTTGTTTGTTTGAGAGCTGGTAAAATAACCCAGAGAAGTCCGTTAATGAGTGGAAGCTGGACCCAGAGGCACGGCACTTGCAGCGCTCGGTGTTTGCTGGGAGCTCAGCAGCAGCAGTGCTAAGTCACTTTGTCAGATGTTTGGAAGAGGAACGGAGTTATCCTGGGCTGTGAGCAAGCTAATGCTGAATCCACAGCCAGGCCGGGCTGTCAGCGCATCTGGGCTGAGACGGTA